AAGTCAACTGTTGTACACCCACTTCGCATTTTGCTTTTTGAAGTTTCAGTCCAACTTCTTTCACAACTTTCATTGTTGCTTCCAACCTTTGATCATGTTCTTGTGGGGTTGATCCATAAATGATGATGTCATCCATAGAAGTATCTACGCCTTCTAAGTGACTAAACAAAGAGTTAATGGTTCTATGATAAATCTCTGGGGCACTGGAGATTCCAAATGGGAGTCGTAAGTATTTGTATCTCCCAAAAGGGGTATTGAAAGTGCATAAATTAGTACTTTCGTCTTCAAGCTTCATTTGCCAAAACCCATTTGAGGCATCTAGTTTAGTAAATACCTTGGCATTTGCAAATTGAGCTGTAACTTCGTCTCGTGTAGGTAACTTGAAATGTTCACGTTTTATTGATTTGTTCAAGTTTCTTGGGTCTAAGCAAACACGTAAGTTGCCATTTGGCTTAGTAACTGGCACAAATGAGTTAACCCACTCAGTCGGTTCTTCGATCTTTTCAATCACGCCCATAGCTTCCATTCGTTGTAGTTCGTCTTTGAGCTTATCATACTGCGCGAAGGGTATTTTGCGACAAGGCTCAACAACTGGTGTTGCATCATCTCTTAACTCGATTTTTACAGTATGAGGTAAACAGCCTAGTCCTTCAAAACAGTCAGCATATTTCTCACTTAGTTTTGCATTGTTATACCTGCTGCCCGTTAAATTATTCGAACTGTTCGACTGCTCAATAGAAAATGTTCTTTTCACAAGATTTAACTTTTCAGAAAGTTCCCTTCCCAAAATAGGTTTAACATCATCAGGGCTGATTAAAAACAGCGCTGTCACAGATTTCTCTTTCAACTTTAAGGATAAAATACACTGACCTTGCACTTAAACATCTCCCCCGTTGTATGCTTTCAGTTTAGTCTTCGATTGTTTCAACTTCGGTCTGTTCTGAAGTGTCTTAAACTCGTTATAACTCATTACATTGACATCCGAGCCAGTGTCTACTTTAAAAGTAACTATACTGTTGTTTACTTCCAATGGAAGTATCCATGGATCTGACTTGTCAGCGGTCGTTTCCGTCGAATAAACATAGAATTCATGTTCGTCACTAGACTCACTACTTGGTTCAGCGTCCCTCTCTTGTTTACCGTTGTTCTCTACCGCATCGACTCGATGTTTTCTTGGATATTTTGGCAATTCTTTGTCTCGGGTTCTACATTGACTCATAAAATGATTTTTCTTGTGACAATTTCTACATTCTTTTCCCACAGCTGGGCATTTATCATAACTATGGTTTCCCTGACCACATCTGCTGCAATTTAATCTGTTGTTATAAAATTTTTGATCTTTACCGCCGTTGCCCGTTAATCCTGAATGCGTTTCTCTTCGATAATTCCTTCCTCGACTATAAACTGCATCAATTTCTTCCGATTTACGTGACGTATCTGTTAAGGTTTTCATATGCTTGTCGGCAACTTCTGCTGCTTTACACACGTCCATACACCTTTCTAGCGATAAATCTTTTTCTCGAAGAAGCCGTGCTCGAGTTCTGTCATTGCTGATTCCTTCGACAATCCTGTCTTTAACGATCGAGTTTGTAAGTTCTCCATACTCACAGTTCTTTGCTAATCGTTTCAGTTCCGTCCCAAACTGCTCTACCGATTCGTCAGGCTTTTGTTTCCTCAAGTTAAACACATGCCTTTCGTGCGTGACATTTTTTTTTGGAAGACAATACGCTTCAAATTTCGCTACTAACGGCTCGATTTTATCTTTTTCTGTATCTTCAAACGTGAGTGTTTCGTAAACTGTAATCGCTGCTTCGCCAGCCAAGGTCAAAAACGTTGCACACTGTATTTTCTGCGACTTTTTGTCTTTCTCAGTAGCGGTCATGTATAGCTCGAAGGCTTTCTTCCAACGCCCCCAATTTTCAGCTGCATTTCCATCGAGTTTCAACGGTTTTGGGGCTGGGATTTGTTCTGCCATTTCGTGTTCTTGTATCTTTGATTAAAATCCCTTTTCTGACACCATGTAACGTTATATATTTTATTTATCTTATGCCGTATAAACTACATTTAACTTTACTTGATAACTCAACTATACTCAGTCCTTCTTCAACGTTCCTTGGACGTCCCATGTGCTCGCATGCATGAGTCACGTGATATCCTTACAGTCACAAACAGTAATAGGAAGTAAATCAAAGAAAGGCAAGAAGTTATCAAAGAAAGAGACGATGATGGACGATTAGTTGGAATTTTATGATCGCAATTAAAAGTTTCACAACACACATGTTTACACTCGCTCGCTGTTGGGTGATCCTTCTTCACCATATCACATATCTCAGAAGAATTAGAACAGCGCGAAGACTGGTAACAACGTTGTTCTGTCATCAACTCACCACCAACCTTAAAGTTGACCCTCAGACATCTGTCTTCCCCGTAAGCACAGGCTTTGCTGTTTAAATAACACTTCTCACTTTTTGCTTGACATTGGAAACAATAGAAGGGGAAGGTGTGGTTAATTCCTTTGTTACAGGTATCACCGTCACAACATGTTACAACACAATTTCTCCCATTTTTATAAAGTTGTCCTAACTTGAAGCCATCTTTGTTGCAGTCGATAGAGCCAATACACAGGCCGTCCTTCACACAGCCTTCATGAAACATGAATGTATGGTTTTGCACTAACCACTCTCTGCCACATCGACTTTCACCAGCTTGGCATTCTACTTCACGTCCTTGACCAGGACATGCCCATCCCCTGCCAGTACATTCAGTACACTTCAATGCTAACGAAACTAAATAAAGAATAAATATGAGCTATTTTATAATATCAAACAGATAACCAGAACAACATAATATTCAATATCGTAACTAATGATCAAACTGATTTGCCGTTATGAGCGCCAAGTAAAAGTCACAAACAGTTGCCGACATCTGTTAATACAAGGGGGCCGTGTGGGTGGTATCGATCCTATTACTGTTTCACAGCAAAGAATTTGTATTAATTCCAATCACCCAACTCACTAGTCTGCGAACCCAGACCAACTCACTGACTTGCCATTTGCCAATCATATTCCCAGTACGGCAGTAGCAATATGGTCCAAATCCCATTTTCCCAGTGAAGGGCGAAACGTAGGTCTGTTTTCAGGCTGTTCACGACGACGCTCATGCCTCATAGAAGACAAACCGCAAGTTGAGTTGTGGACCGCAACTCAAACAATGTTGGACACACTATCAAAGAACGGTGATTTGTCTTTCATTTCTAATTTTTCATTATAGCTACGAAACATTCCATTCCAAGACCCAAGGAATGTGGAATAATTAAAGACTATTATACTATTATAGTGGTAATTATATTTATAATTTAATATTAACATTATATATACAGATTACCTGGTAGGACAGTGATCAGGAAAACGAAGCTTTTTAACATATTCATCAATTGCAAATGATCTAATAAATTAATGTAAGTTCTATTCATTACAAATAAAGATAAGGTAAACCTTTCAGGGGGACATTTACTGAATGTGCATTATCAAAAAGCCAATTATTGAAACTAATTACTTAGTATATCGGATTCTGTTTACTAGCTTACAAGTTATCATAATTAATCTATATCTCTACGAGTCGAGTCGTTCCTAACAGTTTTATAGGAAAGACTTTAATTTGCAGAATATCGACAATTAAGTGGAAATTCCCCCTTAGTCCTGAAGCACGTTTAAACACCCACAGGCGGCCCAGACGTGTATTAGTGTATAGTAAATATATAATTATAGAATATACTACACAGTAAAATTTGTAATGAATTTTATATTTTAAAATCATATTTACTTGCCTACTTTGATTGTATGTGATGGTCTTTTTATTTCTGGGCGACTTTATTGACAGTCGCAGGAACAGAGTGCAAAGTCGCCCAGAAATAAAAGACAATCACATACAATCAAAGTAGGCAAGTAAATATGATTTTAAAATATAAAATTCATTACAAATTTTACTGTGTAGTATATTCTATAATTATATATTTACTATACACTAATACACGTCTGGGCCGCCTGTGAAACACCTTGCTATATATATGCTTTCAACAATTATATATACAGAACTCGTTTACCAGTCGATAGTGGCTCAGTTGCTACGATTTGGCAGAGTTTACTATCATATAAATACTGCGTAGTTTATCCATACTTCAGTGAGTTAATTCAGGCCCCGAATTTTTATAATTCAAATTCTTAGGCTTGTTTCAAACGTCGCGCTTCTCATTGCCGAACGCATTAAAAACAATAGATAATCAGATGAAATCAAATGCCTCATCTATTGTTTCTAATGCGTTCGGCACACGAGAAGCGCGGCGTTTGAAACAGGCCTAAGGCCTGTTTTATACGTCGAATTTTGGGCAGCGTTTACACTGTACTGTTTTCGTAGCGTTCTCGTATTGTTCTTAATCCTCAAGGGAACGCAAGACAATAGTCTAGTTCTCTCGAACAATACGAGAACGCTACGAAAACGGTACAGTGTAAACGCTGCCTTGGTCGCGTCGAATGCAATTAAGACAATAGATAATGAGATCGATAAACCTCATTAAGCTTCATTATCTATTGTTTGAATTGCATTCGACGCGACCGAAATTCGACGTATAAAACAGGCCTAAGAATGCAAGCCTCTGAACAACAGGCATGTTTGTTTAGAAATATAGTTAATTTTGCTAGATACTTATAGGTATTAACAACAATATTATTTCATTAGGTACTGACAACATCTAAAATGGGGGCGCTAAAATAGTATCCCATACTAAAAAATACACAGATTCGTCCTTTCATTTATGATTACTTGCCTTTTTTATTCGCACACTGACACATGCATGTGTATATTCTTACTACTGTACAACTCCACAAAAGTTGTCCGAAAATATGCAAATTTTCGTACGTGGCAGTACAGCTTGTATTTATTAAAAGCCAGTTTTCCACTTCAACCGTTTCAGTTTTCCACTTCAACCGTTTCAGTTTTCCACTTCAACCGTTCAAGCATTTTCTTTTGTGTCGAAGTGATTAGTTCCACTTTATAGTGGTCAGGAAACAAAGAAATACGCTTCGCTACGATACGATTGAAGTGAAAAACTGGCTTAACTGACTGATCGTCTCGTATTATAGTGTGTACATAGCAGCGACCGGCATTGCACGTACACCGCGATTTTTCGGGGTTTTTTTTTACAGTTATTCGCGCTTTTGGGGTTGTTTTGCAGTTAAAGCATCCCAATCATAACAGGCTAACATGGTTTATCTGATATTTAAACTCTGGTTTCTGAACCGGAGCCGGAGTTCAAACTCAAATACCAGTATCATATATCATGTAATATGTGCAGATATTTAACAAGCCCCAACTTGGACCCAAGTCAGGAAAGCTGAAACAGAATATTGCAGATACCGCCTAATTAATATGATAAGCCCGATCATCATATAGAAACCTCCCCAAAAACCATAGCTATAACAACATAACAATAATTTAATGATAGACCTTAGCCGAGTATGGCCAACACTGACGGTCGAACTCGACTTTTAAGTCTGTTCTCGTATTTGACAATTGCTTACCTCAGTTATCTGCAGTCTGCCCAAAGTTGATGAATAATATTAACTGTATAGTCTGCTGAAATATCTGGCTAGCTGGTACAAGCTCAAATAAAAAACGCACGTTTTGCTGCTAGCCTACTGAAATGATAAACTTGCCGATCTTCTCAGTGGTTAAACTGATCTTCTCGTATTACAGCGTGTTAATTTACATAATAAACATGTGATATATCATATCATAACATATCATATCATTATTCGTATTACAGCGTGTTTTCATAACATACATAACATCACAGCGTGTTTTCATAACACTACATAACATCAGTGGTCAAAGCGCAGCACTAGAAAATCGCAACAATTTATGCATCTAACTTAAAACATGCATCTAACTTTTGGCTTGCTCATAATTCATGCATCAACAAAAATCCTTCAGATATTTTTCACCTCGTGAGGAAAAAATCTCAGCGTCTGCGGATGTTGTGAGCTTAGTGCTGAGCTGATTGAATCAATTAGCCAATGACAAACCATGGTTTCTTCATGTGATTTGGAACGAAATGGAGGAAAATGCAAATGATTTTGTCATTTATGTTGTTGTTGAGTAGTTTTCTCAACGTGTGCGGTGAAAATACATAGCTGAGCTAGCTGCCACGCGAGGCGGTTAGCTCAGCAAGTTGCTCTCGTGTGCGGCGGACTTTCACGGTTGCTATCTGAAACTCTGAGGTAACTGTGCCTACAGGAAAGCTAAGGTAACTGCGCCTACTCCGTACTGCGGACTGCGAGTTATCAGAATACCTAAAAAATACAAGTTGAATAGTTCGACGTTTTGAGCGAAGGCCCTTCGTCGGACCTTTGGCGAGCCTTCGCTCGAAACTTTTGTAATGTATAGTAGACCCATTGCACTGACGTCACAAATCCTTAGAGTGTCCTCCAGATGCTCCCTAACAATATCTGTTCGGGTACAACAACTACATACAGCACAAAAATTAACCATTTTAATACAAAATTATTATAAACTTTTACAAAATTTGCTTTGTTTACAAAAGTTATATTATGCATAGATTGCTAATTTCAGTAATTTGTCCTCCAGATGCATCGTCGCCGGCACTGTGACGTCATGTGCAATGGGTCCATAGCAGTGTTACAGTGTATTCTCTAAAGTCCTCACTAAAGTCCCAATAAACACCAGTTGATGGGTCGATATTTTTCCGGTGATCAAGCCTTTCAACTTTTACCGACTTCTGCAAGCTTTTTCAGTGTTTCATCTCTCTGGGTCCCCTCTTTCAAAGTACTGTAATTTCTTATCCAGTAGGTTGAACAACACTTAACTCATACATACATACGACTCTTCTCCAAACAATCGTTTGGTTCTTCAAGAATATACGCTCGGTTTGTTTCATCTGCCATGTAAAGCTCTGCTTCTTTCCTTTACACGACCTTTAATCTGTACCTCAGTTCGAAGTTTTAGGAACATGCATTTCCTGCAGTTTGCAAAGGAGATTGGTGGAGCGGCTTCTCAAGTAAAAATCTGCTCCAGCACTTGTGATCAGTTTCAACAACAACAGTTCTACCAAATTTAGAGTGGAACTATCCGCCCTTGGCTCTGGCAGGAATCGACAAATACTTAATACTTATAGTTATATCGAGTGAGATGCCCCAAATCTTGATACCTTGGCACAGGGTTCGTGCTGGTCTTGAAAGTTAAATTCAAGGAGTAATTAAATTAAGGAGTTTTTAAGTAGTAAAATAGCACTTTTCATTTTTCAAGGAGTGTTTGAGACGTTTTCTTTCAAGTTTCAAGGAAAATGAAAACTGAACATAGCAAATAGCGAGAAAATCGAACACAGATCAAGTCCACGGTTTATTGATTAGTGTAGCTCCCAAACGAAATACTTGGTGTAATATTGACGAATTTGGATAAACGATTTTTGTTTAGTTTACGCCAGTTTTAATTTTGCACCACGAAAATCGAAATACCTATGGCAACTAACAAAAGATAATACAACCGTCGCGTTGCCGTCCTAAAATCGTAAGGTCTCCAAAAATGCTGGATGAATGACGCCAAATATTGGACAATTCATGCAAAACGCTGAAGTCATCTTTTTTATCTTTTGGGGCTGGCATCTCTAGAATCGAATCGCTTTCACTTTTTCAATCAGGTTTGAGACCATCTGATGTTACGTTATCTTGTGTCTGACGTAACCAACAGCAGCTGCGGACTGAGTTTAATTCACTTTCTTTTTTTTCTTTCTTCATTTTGAGGTGAACTTTCCGAGCTGTTTAGCACCTTGACAGCCCTTTCATGTATTCTGTAGACCCCCGTTACCAATACAACAACCATAATCCATGCAGCACAATTGAGGTGTTCAGAATCCAGGCTGAGCATAGCCTGCGAACAGGCTCTCAAGCTGAATTGAGAGCCTGCATCGATGACTAATGAATTTGAATATCTGCCCCGTAACGTTCGTTTTTCCAAATATGGAATGTCTATCCTTATATGGTGTTGTTTACAACTTTCGTTCAAACTAAATTTAGACCATGCAAACTAAATTTAGACCGTACAGTTTATACTGTTTTTCGAAATATAAGATATTGAAGCAAAAGTTTAAATGTTTTAAATACTGTTTTCTCAAAACAGAACATTTCGTGCTTTGAGATAAGATGGCCAAGACCAATTTGATCAGTTAATGTGTTTTTTATGCATAGTGCTAGCAGTTGACTTATATAGAGCTCAGCGGAATGATATAAATTATAGCATCTGACCAATGAGAATTTCGCGTCACGATTTGAGACGCAGATATTCAAATTCATTAGTCATCGATGCAGGCTCTCAATTCAGCTTGAGAGCCTGTTCGCAGGCTAGGCTGAGCATAGACTCAGATTATTTGATAGCGCAACAGCGCGACTAAATGCAAGAGGCTAAAATTTTGCGAAAAAGAGATATTATTTCACAGTTTTTCGCAGTAAAAACTAGTAACATATCGATGCCCAACCATGCAATTTCAGTTTGTGTAATGGTAACAGACAGAATGATAGCAAAAGAAGGAACGTTATGAAATTTACTTGTATACTAACTATAACACAGGAAATTTACAGCTAATTCAGTTGTGTCTAACTATATAAATAAATTACTTGCATACTATTAAAGCTTGTTTGTAGCGGGGAATTTTGTTTTTTGTGCAGCGTTACGCAAGCGATATGCTTTGGTATACTAAAACAATAGCAAGTTAAGATGTAAGGTAACCAAAGTTGTGAATTGAGTATAAACAAGCGTTAGTCGCCATCTTTAACGGCTGGATTTATAAGCTTTGCGTTGTCTATTGACAAAATGTTACGTGTTAAGCTTTCTATCAGGCTAATAAATGTTGTGCAAAAAATGTAACTACATAAATAGGGTTATTGAGTTGTGTCTCTTCATAATTCAGTATGCGCTTCATGGACGGGTTTCTGCATGATCCGACGACGTTGATCGAGTCTTGACTGTTTCTTGGCATGAAATGCGTCGTGGAATCTTGCATTATGCGGATTGGTCTCGGACTGATATTCGTGTGATTTTCCTTCGTCACCATCGTCGTCATTTTCAGTTGATTCAGAGTCTTCCCATGGATCTGAAGATTTATCATCATCTCCTTCATCATTTTCAGCCTCTTCTTTTATCTTCGCCAAGAAGTCGTAACCTTCAAGTCGAGGCTTCCATTCACTTGTTTCAAGTTTACCTAGGTGAAAATGTCACTTTAAGCCATCGCACATCCTCAGAAATAATTGGTGGTTGTGGTGTTGAACTCAGGTGTTTAATTTTTTACTGATGTTACTCTAAGTGCATCTCCCCACACCAGATAAACTAAAAAATTGCTTCACCACGGTGGATTCACTAATCAGCAAAAATTAAAGACTCTTTGTTTAAAGAATCACAGTCAACCGTGATGTTTTGCGCGCTAAAATGTTTTGATTGTTTTGTATTCCATTTTATTAGCCAATTTAGTGACGAAAGATTGATATCCGAAGCGTATGCTTATCAATCTGCATTATTCTTAGACGATGTCATATTTTCATAGTTGGAAGAATTTGGCGTGTGTGTTTATTTTAACCAATGATTTTAGAAAGTTTTCTCAGTTTATAAAGTAGATGACTAATCATGGCTTCTGTATTTCCCGTTCGTGGAAGACCAACAAGTGAGGGTAAATCAAAAAGAATATCGTTGACAAGTTAACGTACGTCCTTTGGACAGAAAGGAAAGAAAGCCTGGGAATACGGGGCTCTCGCATAGCGAGTTTGCCGAAATCCTGCTCCATCAAAGCATGGACGAACTGCGTGAACGTAGCAGGCGATGGGGCAGGAATCAAGATTTCATCAAAACACCAGCGGGTAAAAGTATTAATGTTTTTTGTTTATAATAAAGCTAATGCATATCATTCTTAGTGTACGACTATTTTCGAAGACAACACTATTTTTAGCTCCCTGTATTAAGTAAACATTCACATAGCGCGCGAAGCATCACGGTTGACTGTGATTCGTTAACACACTACAACCACCAGACGTTACATCACAAGAAATATACAGATATCAAAGAAACTAGAATGAGTTTTGGCTTCTGAAATATCACTTACTGGAACTGACTTGACCTCGTAGCTCATCAGTTGGTAGAGCGTCGTACGGCCAAAGGTTGCGGGTTCGATTCCCACCGCGGTGAAGCAATTTTTCAGCTTGCCCAATGTGGACACACTCAGAGTAACATCAGCAAAAAGCTATCTCGTTGAGGAACAATTTGTAAATTTCATTCATTCCTCGAATGTTTACCCGCCACCCTTTTAAATTCGTGGAAAAAATTTGGCGTCCCAGGAAGCAAACAGTGTTTTCCAACAAATTCAAATAATCATTTTTGCAAGTGATTTTTGAATGTAATATAAAATGAACAAGAAACTACAACATCCTTAAAACAGCCAGTCAATTCTAATCAGACAAAATATACTCAAATGTACGAGCCAAGGCGTCAAGAGAAAGGGATTTTGCTCGAAACGTCGATAAGTATATTTTTGGTTTAGAATGGACGTTCTGATCGCGGAGACGCTGTCGCCAACAAAAGTATTATATATTCTATGTTGCGATCATTATAACCATGAGTGGGTGAAAAGTGTACATTATTACAACGGCCGATTCCCTTCCGTTTATGATTTAGGCACTTATATCTTTACCTGTGAACTCTTGTGATCCAGATAAACAAGCCTTTATCCAAGATACTAAGCTTTCCTTCTGTAGCTCACCCTTGTAGGTGTACGTTGCGCCCTAAAACATGAAATACTGAATTCAGTTCTTTCCGTAAAGTAATGCTTTGTAAAGGTACTCATAATTCAGCTACTTCAAGGCTGCAAAATTTTACCTCAACAAACCATCTATATCTATCTATCTATCACTGCATTACCAATCTGACCATTCTAATAGCGCACTCTAGGCGTAAAAAAAAATACCTGTGGTTCCGGTTTCATATCGTGAAAAAATTAGGGTCGGTAGGTCGGAAATATATATTTTTTTAAATATTTTTTTTCATGGTTTTGCCGTTTTTTTGCTGGGCGATTTGCAGTAGAGTCCCGACATCAATATTAACTAGAGATGCGTATTTCCCATGGACGAATTTAGGCAATTTGGTTCAATAATTAGTGTGACAACAGACGCCATTTTGGCACGCTGCATGAGCAGCCCGCAACCACCCGAAGAAAATAGGGTCGCACGGTCAATTGCGTTGAAAAAATAATAGGGTCGGCAGAAAAAAATAGGGTCGGTCGGGAACCGGAACCACAGGTATTTTTTTTTTTACGCCCTAGCATTTCATCTTCAAAACAGACCACTATCTTATTTTCAAGTTTAACGACAATTTGCAATGCATCTGATCTCCTACTTGCATTCGCCTCGGGACATCACAAACATATGCTGTAAACAACCCACTTTTATCGTCCACGGGCCGGCTGTTCAAAGTGCGATTAGCGTTTTAACTTCATTGGTTAAAATTTAACCCGCTTTTGTGGTTTGTGCATTTCTTCACGTTTGTATGTTTTAAGTCTTCAGACGAGACACGATTTCTGAATAAAGATTTCAGGCAGTTGGCTGCGAACATTTCGAACAAATGGCTCCAGACCATGTGAACTGACAGGGCACAAAATACAGACCTTTTGATGGTTGACAAGAACAATGGCAGAAGTTATTTCAGATTTGTCGTTGTCTTCTCGAGTGTACGCTTCCAGAATATCACGATTTACCTTCACAGAACTAAGAAAGACAAACATTTTCAATAGTCTTTCATTCGGCTGAACAGTGCCATAGCAATGTTTTAGTAGTGTTACATTTTTTCTCAAATAATTTCTTCTAGATATAATATACTATAGTCATTCTTTTTAATTTTGCTAGTGAATAACGAATGGCTGCCTCAAGAGTCAAGTCTCATTATCTTGATAGTGCTTGAAACGTTCTAAAACTCATTAGAAGAGATGTGGGAAGCCATATATTGACAGGGTGGGTTAAACATATAGGTCAGGGGGCAGATCATTAATGAGATATGGACTAATAGCGGCTGCTTAAAGCTCCATTTGTAAGCTCACAGTCTACCTCGGTCTGCTTCACCTCAGTTCCGGTTCTGTCTATCTATTCACAATGTAACCAGTCATTGAAAAACCCTGATAGGGAGTGTGCTGTGAAATATCTGTATATTTGTATCTATCTATATATCTTCCAAGTTACATAGGAAAATGCATTTGCTTGACATTAAAACTAATTTAAACAGGAAAATTCGATTTGTAAACAATTTGACAGCTTTAAGAATATCTTCTCATTATAAATATATTCTGGCTTTAATTGGTCAGAAAGCACCGGCTAATTTTCAGTATTCGGCATTTATTACGTATTTTCCGCCGATGACGTCATCAGCGTCCCATAATTGTTTTTTTGGATCGAACTTGCATCCAAAAAAAAATTATTGGACTCTCTCGTGCCCAAACCCTTGCGCGGCCAAAAGCTTGAACCTATAAGCGCGCGCGAAAAAAAAAACAATGGCCTACAGCAGATTTGCTTCGCTGAATGAAAGTGAACTCTCCAAATTATTGGCAGATAAGGATAGTGAAAGCACGAAAAAAGCCACAAAGGGGTAAATAGAAGTAGAAATAGAATATTTAGCTGACCTTTGACTTGGTGCAAGGTGTTTGATATTGAAATTGTACTTTTCCTACCTCATGAACCGGAATCGTTTTATACGTTTCTCATGTCTTTAAATGTATAATAAAAAAGTTATTGGATTCGGCTTTCGCATGATATCAAGAATTATTCAGACCTCGGTCCATGTTATCCGCCTCAGCTTCGCTTCGGCAGATAACATTGACCTCGGTCTGAATAATTCTTGATATCATGCTCAGCCTCATCAAATAATTGCTTATTATTCAGTGCTATACTCCTATAATAGTTGTCACGACAATCTTCAGGCATACTCACATGTCAACCCAACAGAAATTCATTCCATCTGTTTCAGCAGACTTTACGATATCAGTAATGAGGGAGTTAATTTCGTCATTGTCTTTGTTTATGAAAGCAATCAAAAATGGTTGTCCTTTACTGAAATATGTCGGAAAGTTCAATGGTGTCAGCTCTCCCTGAAGAAAAAATACACACATGAACAACTTCATGAATTTTATTAGTGGGCGATCGTAGATTAATGACCTGATTTATACTAAGCCCATATTAATTGTCAGGACAAACATGAGCAAAGAATGAAAGAAAAGATAGTTCGTCTGTCCATCAATCTATCTATCATTTCGATATCAAGAAATGTATTTATGATAAAATCATATACGATAAAATTGGACAGATTTACTAGAGAGAGCATGAACTATCTCGAAGAGCTGGCTAGAATAGAACTTTTATACCACCAGTGGTCCTGATGTTTTCCTGATCATTCGTCGAACATAGTCGTAACATAGTCGTATCACTTTAGTCAAGATCAACTGTATATAGAACATTTTATCCCAAACAATCGGAAAAACCTACATGCAGTTGGAAATATTCTATATCATTACTGAATCAATGTGCTTTACGAGTCAAAACTCCTGTGGTTATACGTAAACCCTAAACATAGAAGGCGCAAAAATCCCATGATGGTTACTTTGTAATAACCCTTAGAATTAAGTACTTATGTACGTCACGCAATTTTCAATCCAAGCATTAGGTATACGCAATGCATTGTGGGATGCATGTGGGTCAAATATTCAATGTCTGACAGTCAATTGTTGCACTAGTTTCATGACAATTATTGGCATTCATTGCACAAGAAATTTTTCGAAACGAAGAAAGATATCACAACAGTATAATTTTCGTAAACGTACATATTGCAGAAGACTTGAGTGTTTTACAAACTGAATAATGGCTTCCTCGGCATACTCTCCCTCAAAGACAACTTTACTTTGCAATGGATCATCTCTTTTTATCAAAACAACACTTGGCACACGGACATTCAGTCTGGCAGCACTACACAAGAAATAAGTAATAAATATATCTTCTTCATATTGTGATAATATGGAAATAGACTATACTGTTTATTGCACTCTTGCCTCAATGGTTAATACTGAACTTGAAATTCGTTAGAAAATCAATACAACTCATTGTGAATATATTAGTATAGGTGTACCAAAAAATATGCGTCCCTTATATCAACGCCGCTGCCAACGCTGGACCCCAAGGTTTTAGGTTTAAGAGGAGAATTTTTTCTATGTCGCGTCTTTTCGATGAAAAGCGCTCAAAACCTACGCAATGCAAAAAATGACGTTGTCGCGTACGCGTCAGCTGTATATGGCGTTTACAAAATAGCAAAAAAGTTAAAACTTTTGAGAAAATCAGCTGAAAAGCCGTTCAAATCTGCTATATTTTCAGGTAAGTGCTTTTAACTACTCTAGAAATATAAAGAATATATCGTTTTGTCTTTCGTAAAATTGGTGTAATTGGTAATAAATATTGTTCTGATTTTTTGTAACTTCCGGTGTTATGAAAACAAGAAAGCCATTCAAAGTCAGTCAAAATATGTCGTAATTTTATGCAATTTAAAGAGATGTAAAACTAGTCTTTTCTAAAACGAAGATCTAAAAATGATGCGAAAAATATTACTCTCCGGTGTTTCTTGTTGCTATCTTGGCCAGACTCTTTCGATTCGCAGCTTTCATATATTTATTTTAGCTGTAGCGCGTTTCGTCCTAAACTCTAAAGGCTAAAAACCTGACATCGACGAGGTTTTAGATCTGCTTTCGTCTTCATACAATTTTAACTCAAGGACATTTGTAAAAGCAAATTCGTGCAGCCAATAAAGCAATAGTAAACTATATAATCAACATATATAAACAATGTTTGAACATTTAGACTATACATGTAAATATGTTATTACTTTCCCTTCAATTCAGATACGTAATTTAGCAAGAATGACTACTAGGCCTACAGATGTGAACGAGAAGGTATATTTATCTATGAGCAACTTTTATTTTGCTGTTTAAGTTGGTGAAAATCTCGCTGGTCATGCAACATTTATATATTTCCGAACTAAACTGCACATTTTTTCACAAATTATTACTCTTATCTTGACTTGCAGAGCATTCAAACTCTGAGAGCACTCTACGGCAAAAATAAGCCCTCATCGAAAAAGATTCAAGCAACTGAAATGTTTATGAAAGGGGAGAATTCTTTTCTGGTAATTGCGAGAGTCCTGAACGTTGCTACTGCCACAGCAGAAGTATATGCAATCGACGGATATTGTTCTGGTGCCCCATTATCTTACCAAGACCTGGCACCACAATTTAATTCAAGTTAAATAATGAAGAAGCAGATATTATTGCTGCTGAGCTACGGAGAGACAACGTTAGCTTAAGAATCGTGCGAGATGCACTTCAAAATGCTTTCAGTTACAACCAAATTAGGCTTGTGCTAGCTGCATTGATTCGCGGGGAAATATGAACTGAGTCAGAGTTGCATGATGTCCTATTCCAAAGAACGGACACTTCTTTTGTCAGAAGAGTATAAGACAAGTTTTTTATAACTTAGGAGTTTTAGGATTTTTAAATAAGAAAATAATTTGTGTATTTAAGAAAAGAAAAACAGTTTTTGTGAATTTTAAATTGTGAATTTAAAAATTTGATGTTGTATTCGAAACTAAAAATCTCTTACCTTTTTTGCTCCATTTATAATATTCACTCCAGGGAAACACGTTTTTCAAACTGTTAGCACTTATTATATATCAGTAATTTCCGTGAATCAGCTTTCTGTGGAGTAATTTTTATCACTTTCACGATATATACACCCAAAATATTCCACAAGTATTCTTTGCATGCTTGACAATGGCAAAACGTTTCGACTTTCGAGCACGACGAGCAGGTTTTACCAGTTGCATAGCAACCAACATAACAATAACGGCTGAACCGGGGGGAGAGGTAAATTAAAGGAAGGCTAGGAAGCTGAAGCAAAATGATTCATGATTAATTTTGCGTGTTCTTAATCGAATGACATTTATTTTGAAATGAAAAAAGAAAGGATGATAACATTTTATATCGTTGATTGTTTTTTCGAGACACTCTGTAGTAGCAACCTGTTTAGTGTTATAATTGGGATTGTATCTTGATGATAAGGACCCACTAGAAGTCATATTCACAGTATAATTGTGGAAATTTCCGTAAATGCGGCTTTAATATCGTGTAAAATCTTGCTACTACTTTGGCTTTCGTGCACGATTTATATGCTTATATGTATCAAGATCAAAGAGAAATTATATTGATGCGCGTTAGTGCGTTTATACAATACATGCATACAGTATAAGGGTCGTAGGACGTAGCAATAGGCAGGTTGAGATTTCTGGGATTGATATATCCGATTCTTGTGATCGCGCAACTCTTTCGATTTTATGTAAACCCAATGCAATACGTATGCGTGAATACTGGGATATCTATAATCATGAAATAATAAAGTCGGGACCATTTCCGCCGTGGCGCATTTCTCGCGTATTCTCGCGATTCTCGCGTATTTTTTTGCCTCATTTGAAGTATTTTTCATTTAACTTACACAAACTACTCGAGTGTACACACAGGGCATAAAAATCAAAATATGCGAACAAAGGTCTGGCCAAGACGAATTCCGAATTCTGGGGAGGATATTTCTAAAAAAAACACACATCCTTTCGACAATAAACGTCATTTGAGTTCAATAAAAATTGATACAATAACAATAAAATGGATTTTTTATTTTTACAAATTGCAATTTTAAAATACATCTATATAAATTTATGACTTGTATCTATATAATCGTTTTTCCATAATAATACAAAATAGTGTTTCGAGTTTATTTCAACAGAGCATGATTTATACGAATTTCAAATATTTATTTCTAGCTTAAAAATGGAGCGTGTACGACCAAAAGACGATCCATGCATCTTCTGCTTCAAAATAGTGTCATCTGAAAAAGAGAAAAGATACGTTACAACAGAAAATTACACACAATTAGGTTTAACGGAGGATGAATTCATCACAACACGAGGCAAAATAATTTGTTCTGCGTGTAGAATGTCGAGAATACTTCCGAAATACAAGAATAAGTGTCCCACATTAAATTGCACTACGCCGAGAAGAAAAATTAAATTACGTGAATTGCATTTATCCGACAAAGAGGAACTCATCATTGAAGAAAAATTTCAAGTGTCAAAGAACGAAAATGTATGCCGGGCCTGCTCGTACAAAATATACAAATACATTACGACTAGCTTGAAAGTAGAAAATAACGATTACATTCCAAAAGCTATAAGCCAAATGGATTCTGTGATCTGTACCTACAATAGATATCCAGCCTCGAGTAACATCAACGTTCAACAACTAGATGCCTCAACACCTCCACTCAGCAATAACATCAGTGAGAGATATCCAGCCTCGAGTAACATCAACGTTCAACAACTAGATGCCTCAACACCTCCACTCAGCAATAACATCAGTGAGAGATATACAGCCTCGAGTAACATCAACGTTCAACAACTAGATGCCTCAACACCTCCACTCAGCAATAACATCAGTGAGAGATATCCAGCCTCGAGTAACATCAACGTTCAACACCTAGATGCCTCAACACCTCCACTCAGCAATAACATCAGTGAGAGATATACAGCCTCGACTAACATCAACGTTCAACAACTAGATGCCTCAACACCTCCACTCAGCAATAACATCAGTGAGAGATATACAGCCTCGAGTAACATCAACGTTCAACACCTAGATGCATCAACACCTCCACTCAGCAATAACATCAGTGAGAGATATCCAGCCTCGAGTAACAAGCTTAACCATGGAGGAAGACCAAGGAAAAAGTTCAGCGAAGGAAGCGTATCTACGAGACGTAGAATAAAATCAAAGGCAAAGAGTTTACTGAGTGAACTGGTTGGCAAGTATGACGAAATATCGAAAGGGGAAGGACGGGAATTATTTGAAGATGTTTGTGATAAAGTACCAATTAGTAGCACAACCGACAAAAAATTGCTCGAAGTGGTTCATGGTATCGCAAAGGCTTACACAAAAGAACCGCCAGGACCCGCCGGAAAGACTAGAATTTTAAGCACCGTTGCAAACGCCTTTTCTAACAAGGAACTTCAAGCCAAATTTAACTGCACTGACTATGAAATCACACAAGCTCGTAGACAAGCCACTGAATATGGACCTGGGGTTACACCACCAAAGAAAAATAAATTTGTTACGAAATACAGAATTCCACTTGAAGACCTTGAGTTTGTCCTCAATTTTATTCACCATCCAGATAATGCAGTTCCATCTTCTCACAGGATGGCTTCATGTGACGGTAAAAACTCATCTTGGATTTCAGATCTCGTTGGTGGAGGAAAACTACCCGTTCTGTGGTTGAAAGACGGAAAGCATCACCTTTACGACAAATACAAGGAAGAATGTTGTAGGCGAGGTAGCAGACCAATAAGTAGAACTAAATTCTTGGAGGGATTAAATGCAGGTAATTTCAAAGAAATGGTAGAAATGGCTGGCTTATGCAACATCTGTGACGAGGTGGGAGCGCGAAATTTTGAAAGTTTGGACGCGCTGCTTTCCAGCTTAGACGAGGAGATAAAATTGCACAAGCCAAAACCAAGTTTGATAGCAGAAACCCCCGAAGTTGACTGTGGCCGTGGAATTGTAT